ACACTGAAAAATTCTGAAAAACCTTGACAAACCGTGAAAAACTTGAAATTCTGAAACCGGTGAAGGCTCGGTTTGGTCAAAAATCCAGAAAACGAGAGGCCACCCACAACCGTCGATTTCAGTACAAAAAAATCGCAGAAAAACCTGGGACCCGGGCCGATCCTGGGTCCCCCCCTCGTTTGTTTGGGGTGTTTTTGGAGGCAAACTTTCCCTCTCAAGGGGGGTCGGAGTTTGAGGCAAGGGGGGGTCTCAGAAGACTATTTTGCTTTTAAAATTGAAAAATACGACCCCCCCTTGACCAAAATTAGGCTGTGAAAAGGTCGCGGGGGCGGCCCTTCATCAGAATTGAGGGTTAAAAACCCTGAAAGACCCTGAAACACATTGAAAAACCTTGAAAAACACGGAAAAACTCTGAGAAACCTTGAAAAACCTTGAACAAGCCAAGGCCCGCGCGCGCGCGCGGGCCAGGACAAGGCCAGACCCTTGAGTGCCCAACAGGGCCGGTCGATTTTCTGACTATAGGGTTTAAATATATCTAGGTAAGAGAGGTTTAGGAATTTAGGGTTTAGGGTTTAGGGTTTAGGGTTCAGCAGCTCCGGATCGAGCAATTTTATGGTAGTGTTTTTTTTACGGCTTGGATATAACACCCACCCACCCAGAGAATCCCATAACATTAAGAAACCATATAAAGTATCTTCATACAAAAGTTCTTTTCAACGAAGACTGCGGCTACAGAACAAATTCGTTCTTAACAATCCGCATTGCGTCAATGGGGTGGGGGGGTGGGGGGGGGTGTGGGGGGGGGGGGGGGGGGGGGGTAGCAGCAGAGAGCAACAACCGTGGCTGTAGACATGTAGGACGGTGCGTTGCATTGATTTAACAGTTTTCCTCTCACTCCTTTGTTGCGCTTGACAAACTTTGAACCTATCCCATGTGACTCTGACAAACCAACCAAACCACCCATGTTGCGGGAGCGCGTCTGGCCACGAGTTTATGTTGCAATGTCTCGCTTCTGCTCGAGCTTTTTTGGCGATAATCCAACATCATTCCTTTTGCTTTGTTCTTTCCTCTGGTTGGCGTCTGGCGCCAGCCTTAGCTGTTTGATGACTATGATCAGCGTTTATCATCAGCATGCAGGAGCAAGATTTGCACAACTTACCTAAAGCCTGCGTTTCGTGTAAGGTCATGTCAGACCGCACAATTCGAGTCGGAGACACAGTCATCATGGTGTGGTATTTGGATAGCCACCATCAATGGCACCTATACCACGTCGACGACTTGTACTTTGATTTCGAAGAAGGGGAACACTTACCTATTGCTGAAGAACTTGGCCTCTCGTTCGCGTTCGGATTTGCTTGTTGAAGACACGCCATCATATCATGTGTGTCGGAACTGAGGTTTATTGCCAAGCCAGACGCGACATGTTCCCCCTCCACTACCACCGCCTCCTCCTTCTGAGGAGCAGAGTCTTGGCTGCATTCTAGGACAATATCGTTTCTGGTGCATCAGGACGCTTACATGAGCATAACTCGAACCAAGGCCGCCCAACGAGCCATCGGAGCAACCAGAACCTGAGCCAGAACCGGAACCTCTACTTGTCGCCTGGCTGCATATAGGCAGATAGAGTTGATATGGAAGACGCAGTTCCAGCTAAGGGATGGATTCCATGGCAGGTCTACGATTTCTGAAGCGGCTGCAGCGCGTGCGCCCGTAACGGATAAAGGTGAGTACGCTGTAGAGGATACCTTGGAGATTCACAAGGGTTGGCAGTGCAGCAAGGGTCCACCCCCTCACTCTGGCAGGCACAGCAGCAAGAAGTTGTTTTTTCCCCCAAACAGTCTACGGGCAATCAGTTTGATAAGAAACGGGTGTTCTTCGTTGAGACCCTGAATATTTCTTATAGGCGGCCACGGGAAGAAGAAATGAAAGTAAGATTGAGGGTCTTATCACATTTCTTATTCTCCCCCCGCGTCCCCGGTGACCACCCGTCCGCCGTGAACCCCCCCCCCCCCGCACCTCTCCCGAGAGTTCAACGACATCGTTTTTGGAGTTTTCAGCTCCCAAAACCTCAAAAACGGTGTCGTTGAACTCCCCCCACGTCCCGGGCGAGGCCCTTCCCCCGTGACCTCCCCACCCCCGTTCAACGACATCGTTTTTGGAGTTCTCAGCCCCCAAAACCTCAAAAACGGTGTCGTTGAACTCCTCCCGGTGACCTCCCGTCCCCCGTGACCCCCACCCCCCCCCTCAGAGTTCAACGACATCGTTTTTGGAGTTTTTCAGCCCCCAAAACCTCAAAAACGGTGTCGTTGAACTCCTCCCCGGTGACCTCCCGTCCCCCGTGACCCCCCCCCCCCCCCCAGAGTTCAACGACATCGTTTTCGGAGTTTTCAGCCCCCAAAACCTCAGAAACAGTGTCACGGTGTCGTTGAACCCCGTTGACACCGGCAGGAATCGAGCCTGCGACCTTACGTTCCAATGCCGACGCCTTAACCATTAGGCCACGGGGAGAAGTGTTGGCTATAACGCCTCTCAACCAAATGGATTCGCCGTTTGGGCCGTGGCCCCCCCCCACCCCAGAGTTCAACGACATCGTTTTTGGAGTTTTCAGCCCCCAAAACCTCAAAAACAGTGTCGTTGAACTCCCCCCACGTCGCTCGTGACCTCCTGTCCCCCGTGACCTCCCAACCCTCTCCAGAGTTCAACGACATCGTTTTTGGAGTTTTCCGGTGACCTCCCGTCCCCCGTGACCCCCACACCCCCCCCCCCCCCCCCCAGAGTTCAACGACATCGCTTTTGGAGTTTTCAGCCCCCAAAACCTCAGAAACAGTGTCGTTGAACTGTCCCGGTGCGCCCCAGAGTTCAACGACATCTATTTTGGAGTTTTCAGCTCCCAAAGCCTCAAAAACGGTGTCGCCTCAAAAACGGTGTCGTTGAACCCCGTTGACACCGGCAGGAATCGAGCCTGCGACCTTACGTTCCAATGCCGACGCCTTAACCATTAGGCCACGGGTAGAAGTGTTGGCTATAACGCCTCTCAACCAAATGGATTCGCCGCTTGGGCCGTGACCCCCCCACCCCAGAGTTCAACGACATCGTTTTTGGAGTTTTCAGCCCCCCCCACGTCGCTCGTGACCTGTCCCCCGTGACGCCCCCACCCTCTCCAGAGTTCAACGACATCGTTTTTGGAGGTTTCAGCCCCCAAAACCTCAAAAACGGTGTCGTTGAGCTCTCGCCGGTGACCCCCCGTCCCCCGTGACCGCCCCACCCCCCCCCCCCAAACCATACACAAGGCCTGGGAATAAGAAATTTGCCTTGTGCCAGACCCTGGTTAAGAAACAGGGGCACTCCTCCAGGGTCTAATTTCTTGTTTGGAACGATTTCTTATCAAATGCGTGCACCGTTCTGTTGGGTTTCTAAATTCATTTAAGGCTTGCCGACATTCTGAGGATTGTTGCCGGGTTCCTGGGATCCTTGTCTCCCTTTGTCTCCTTTTGTCTCCCTTCATGTGGGTGGCTTTGCCGGGTTACCATGCTCCTCGTCTCCTTTTGTCTCCCTCTGTCTCCCTTCGTTTCCCTTTGTCTCCCGTTGTCTCCCCTTGTCTCCACTTTTTCTTTGACGTGCCTTTGACTGTTTGGGGTCTTCGGTGGTGTAATTTTATGTGCTCATTGGCACTTGGCGTGGTGGCCTGCTGGCCACGAGTTTATGTTGCAATGTCGCATGAAAAGCGCAGAGATCTCCAGATGCCTTTCGTCCGTTCACTTTTAGGCTCAACAGCCGTAGTCTTCATCCACAACCATTTCGAGCGCAAATCTCAGTTGCTGCAGGCGGTCTTAGCGAGAATGCCCATGTGTATAGTCCTTGGTTTTTCAGGCGACTGACGCGAATCGCAATAGCCAACCAATGCGGCTGCTTGGTTCTGAACTGCGAGCTGAAGTGGGACGGTGGCCCGATCGCAAATTTGCGGACCATGGCCGGCCACATCGTAGGCTCTGTGCGCTGGGCAGCAGCTGGGCTGAATGAACCGGAAGCGCGCGGGCAAACCACTGTGATTAGTGTCACGCTGGTTGAACCTCGAAGCTATCCAGGCCCTTCAGAACGTAACGGTCGGCGACATCATCTCATCCATAGGATCTGAAGCCCATAGCCGTGAAGCGCTGTCCCGGCAGACGCATGTAGTCATCCTCATCAATGGACGATGGCAGCCAGAAGAGCAGCCGGTGGCCGGACCGATTCTTCTCTTAGAAAAGCGGTCGCGACGCAGACTACAGCACAAACAGTCGCTGGCAGAGCATCTGTTTCACGCCAATCTTCATTCGCTCTGATTTTCAAATTCGGCAAAGACGGCCAGTCATGGCCTATATTGAAAAAGGGAGAACTGGCGCAAGCGAGAAAGCTGGGCGAGGAGGAGCTAGGGCTAGGACATAGAACTGGTATATAGAGATGCTGTTGTGCTAGGGCGTCGACAAGTGTAGCGAGAAGAAGACTGAACCTGGTAGTGTAACTACCTGGAGACGCCTTGCTTCTTTACCTATAGATGAACAGCTCAGCGTGTTCAGGTGCGCTCACATCCTAGCCAGTCGCATGTTTTGTCAGCAGAGTTCAATCGGTTAGCAAATTATAACTCAAGCTTTCGTTATTCCAAAACATGGCACGCGACTCAGCGACTGCCAGGACCACGCTATGCATACACAAACATTGCAGGGGGGTGGGGCTGGGGGTGGGGGGTGGGGGGGGTGGGGGGGGGTGGGGGGGGTGGGGGGTGTGGGGGGGGGGGTGGGCGGGGGGGGGGGGGGTGGGGGGTGGGGGAGGGAATTACCCTTAACCACGAAAAATTACCCTCAGCCACGAAGAAATTACCCTTAGCCACGAATAAATTGCCCTTAGCCACGAAGAAATTACCCGTAGCCACGAAGAAATTACCCTTAGCCACGAAGAAATTACCCTTCGCCACGAAGGAAATTACCCTTAGCCACAAAGAAATTACCCCCAGCCACGAAGAAATGGCCCTTAGCGACCAAGAAATTGCCCTTAGCGACGAAGAAATTACCCTTAGCGAAGAAATTACCCTTAGCCACGAAGAAATTACCCTTAGCCACGAAGAAATTACCCTTAGCCACGAAGAAATGACCCTTAGCCACGAAGAAATGACCCTTAGCCACGAAGAAATGACCCTTAGCCACGAAGAAATGAGGGGTTTAAATATATATGTGATAGAGAGGTTTAGGGTTTAGGGTTTAGGGTTTAGGGTTTAGGGTTTAGGGTTTAGGGTTTAGGGTTTAGGGGTTGCGCATCCTGGGTCTTGAGGAGGGGGGGGGCTCAAACCCTGGGTTCAGGGTAGGGTTCAGGGTTTAGGGTTTAGGGTTTAGGGTTTAAGGTTTAGGGTTTAGGGTTTAGGGTTAGGTTATCTGATACTTCCACTGATTGGTTTTAAGAGGATGAAGTTGATGAATGTTTTTTGGAGGGTTTTAAGGGCGATCCTGGTTGTTGTTTTGGGTCCCTTTCAGGGTGAGTGGGGTTTAGGGTTTAGGGTCTGGGGGTTTTGGGAGTTAGGGTTTTTGAGGGTGTCAGGGTCCCAGGGTTCTCGGGTTTCAGGCGTTTAGGTCTTTTGAGGACGCCCCTTCTTGCTTTCTACGTGCTGCCAGGCTTCTACGCGCTGGCTGTCCGATGTGACAGCTACCTACGGCCCTTCCTTTACTTCATGGCTGCCACTGAGACCAAGAGATGGGTAGCCCCACCTCTCCCCCTGAAGCACTAGAGCCCACCCCCTGGGTTTAGGGTTTAGGGTTTAGGGTTTAGGGTTTAGGGTTTAGGGTTTAGGGTTTAGGGCTACCGGAAACCATGATTTGGTGCAGGGGCTCCCGGGTGTTGGGCTGGCAAGGTTGCCGGAGACGGTAGGCTTGAAGTTCGAGGCTGACATCGGATGTTCCCCCTTTATACTCGTAGGCCCTTATTTCCTTTTTTTAGGGTTTAGGGTTTAGGGTTTAGGGTTTAGGGTTTAGGGTTTAGGGTTTAGGGTTTAGGGTTTAGGGTTTAGGGTTTAGGGTTCCCTTGTAATCCCCTTAAAACCAAAAAGGGCATTTTATTCCTAGGTTACTCCCGGGTCTAGGTAGTGGGGATTATAATAGGTGGTACGATAATCCCTATTAGGGGCTGTTAGTGCAAGGGGGAGCAACTAACCTTGCGGTTTAGGGTTTAGGGTGTAGGGTTTAGGGTTTAGGGTTCAGGGTTTAGGGTTCTTACCCTCTCACCTACAATTGGGTCCTCGGGACCTTCCAGAACCCAAGAAGAATGGCCCCTACAGTCCTACAAAGCTCCTCCTAAATCCCGAGCCCTCGAGCCCTAAACCCTAAACCCTAGACCCTAACCCTAAACCCTAAACCCTAAACCCTAAACCCTAAACCCTAAACCCTAAACCCTAAACCCTAAACCCTAAACCCTTACTCCATGACACACAGCTGCTGGAGGCGAGTTTCTTGGCCGTGCCTCGGCTGACGTTGGGGATCTGAAGCTACTTTGTGGCACCCTGCACCGTGGAATATGTTCGAGAGCAGGGACCTCCAGAAGGGCTCAGAACCCTAGAAGGGTTTAGGGCTTAGGGTTACGTAGGGATTTAAGGTAGAACCCTATAGAACCCAAACCCCTAAGCCCCTAAACCATACACACCATCCCAAGGTTCGAGCCCTAGAACCCTAGAACACAAACCCCTGAGCGTCTAAACATTACACATCATCCCCAGGTTTGGAGCAACCCTCAACCCAAAACCCTCAACCCTACACCCTAAACCCTAAACCCTAAACCCTAAACCCTGGGATGGGGAAACTCCCGAGGAGCTGGGTGCCTGGGTCGTGCCTCTGCTGATGGAGGGCAGCTGCGCGATGGTGCCTAAAGGACCGGCCAGGGGTTTAGGGTTTCGGGTTTAGGGTTTAGGCTGTTGGGCTTGGGGCTTAGGGTTTGAGGGCTTAGGGTTTAGGGCGTAGGGTTTCTAGGGTCTTGGGTTCAGGAATCTTGCAATAATTGAGCAGGGGTCTTGGAGCAAGAGCCTGCAAGCAAGCACTTGTAGTAGGTTCCTTGCTTCTTAAGATCGTCCCGAAGTCCGACTGCAGTGCATATAGGGCTTATGGGCTTAAGGGTTTAAGGCTTCAAGGGTTCAAGGGTTCAAGGGTTCAAGGGTTTAAGATTTCAAGGGTTTAAGGCTTTAAGGCCTGAAGGCTTTAAGGGTTCATAGGTGGCCTGCGCTCAAGCAGGCCTGAAGGTTTCCGGCATGGCGGCTGCCTGCGGGTTCATGAAGGTCCTTTTCGCCGTGTTCTTCTGCAGCTTGGGCTGAGGGAGTTTGGGCACTGGTGCTAGTAGCTGCTAGTAGTTTTGTTCTAAGGAGGCAAGACGTAAGCCCCAAACCCTACACCCTAAACCCCTGAACCCTCAACACGAATCCAGATTTTTGTAGGTTGCGAAGCCCCCAAACCCTAAACCCTAAACCCGAAAAACTGTGTCACCTAACCACCTTGAACCCCTCAAGAGACTTTGTTTTCGGGGAGGGCGGGGAGGAGGGTAAGGTTTAGGGCTTAGGGCCTAGGGTGTAGCGTTTGGGGTTTAGGGGTTAGGGCTTGGGATCTAGGAATTAAAGGAGAGCCGGCCAGGTTTGGCCAGGTTTTGAGGTTGGGGTGTTCGTTGGGTCCGCCTGGAAAGAAGGGGCCACATCTCAGCCTCGACTGGCGCAAGCCTGAAGCCCTGAATGAAGCCCGGAAGCCCTGAACCCTAAACCCTCAACCCTCAACCCTCAAACCCTAAACCCCTAAACCTTGAACCCAGGGGCTGAGGGGTTTCAGGGTCCCCAGGGCGGCCGGGATCCTTCCCGCGCACCGCCCAGGCCAGCTTGCAGCGATCGAGGCCTACCTCATCTTCGCAGTGTGGTCCCTGTGCGAGGACATGAAGGCTAGGCACCCCGAAAGCCCTAAATTCCCAAAGGCCCTAAAACCCCAAAACCCTGAAGTTAGGGCTCAGGGCTTAGGGTTTAGGGTTCCTAAAATCCCAAACCTATCCAAAACCCTAAACTTCAGCCTCCGACACAGGGCTCCGTTTTCAGTGGAGTAGGAGGCCCAGAGGCGGCCCCATGCGGAGGTTCCCCAGAAAAGGGTGCAGGGTTTAGCGCTTAACCCGAAACCCTAAGCCCTAAGCCGTAAGCCCTAAGCCCTAAGCCCTAAGCCCTAAGCCCTAACCCCTAATTCAGGCTTTCGGGTTTAGGGAGTAGAAGTTGGGATGCTTCCACCTTGTACTAGCACTCCTTAATGGCGATAATAATGGGGGGTACTAGAATCCCTATTGAGGACTGTTAGTATGAAGGGGAAGATCCCGAAGTAGAAGGTTGAGCTTTGGCCCCTTTCTGGCAGCTTTGAGAAGGGTTTAGGGTTTAGGGTTTAGGGTTTAGGGTTTAGGGTTTAGGGTTTAGGGTTTAGGGTTTAGGGTTTAGGGTTTAGGTCTTTCTGATTTCGGGATGTTTGGGTTTTGGAGTTGCTTGGCTCTTAGGCTTAGGTAGTGGGACTTAAATGGGACCCCCCAAACAAGGAACTCATCATCGGAATATACCTACCAGGTCCTTATATATTCCTACTATTTTCTTGGGGTTCCCTGACTAGGATCCGTTTACTTAGGATGAAACCTTAGCTGCCAGCTTTCGAACCCCCTAAACCCCCTAAACCCCCTAAACCCCCTGAACCCCCTGAACCCCCTAAACCCTAAACCGTGGAGGTGAGCATGAAGGGCCACTTGCCGAAGCTGCTGGTGCACAAGACGCACCGCGAGCGCGGAGCTCGGCTCCTGGCCCCTCCCCCAATGGCCACGAGAGTCCCTTAAGGGTTTAGGGTTTAGGGTTTAGGGGTTAGGGGTTAGGGTTTAGAGTTTAGGGTGGCGCCTCCCCCAATGGCCACGAAGTCCCCGAAGTAGCACGCCCATCACCCTCAGACGAATGGGGTCTGGGTTTAGGGTTTAGGGTATAGGGTATAGGGTATAGTGTTTAGGGTTTAGGGTTAGGGTTTGGGTTAACCCTTCTTCAGCACCGAAGCCACAAGAACCCTACAAACCCCAAACCTCAAACCCTGAACCCCTGAGCCATTAGCTGCTTCACACCTATAAGCCCTAACCCATAAACCATGAGCCCCCCTAAACCCTCCACAAGAACCCTAAACCCTAAACCCTAAACCCTAAACCCTAAACCCTAAACCCTAAACCCTAAACCCTAAACCCTAAACCCTAAACCCTAAACCCTAAACCCTAAACCCTAAACCCTAAACCCTAAACCCCACACCCTAAACCCCCCAGTCTACCCTCAGGCCGGTCGGCGACCCGGCCGCGGCCCTCTTCGGGGGGCAGAACCGCGGCTTGGGTTACGGCGCCTTCTGAGCCGACGCTGCTGAGGGTTTAGGGTTTAGGGGTTTGGGGTTTGGGGTCTAGGCTTTGGGGTTTAAGGTTTAGGGTTTGGGGTTTAGGGCATGGGGTTTAGGGTTGTAGCTAGGCCCTTGTCTGTTCTTTGTGGTGTTTTAATTGCAACGCTAGCGTTGCTTAGTAAGATCGGGAATGATCATGCCTTTTTGGGGTTAGGGTTTAGGGTTTAGGGTTTAGGGTTTAGGGCGCGAGGTCAAGATGGCCTCCCTAGACGCCCGATTGTGTCGACTGGGTCGCGCGCTGGCGCCAAAATGAGTTCTGAAGACAAGGGCCCTAGACCCTAAACCCTAAACCCTAAACCTTAAACCCTAAACCCGAAACCCGAAAACCCTGGATCCAAACCCGAAACTCTAAAACCGTAGGACCTATAAACCCTAAACGCCGGCCTTGAAAGGTTCCAAGGGTAGCCAGGTTCACTCCAACACCCCAAACCCCCTGACAACCCCCCCCCCCCCCCCCCCCCCGATGCCTCCGTGTTAGGGTTTAGGGTTGAAGGTTGAGGGTGTCTCGATGAGTGGGCGCGCTGGTGCTGAAAGCACCCAGGCGCGCGCCCCGACCTGCGTGAGCCCACGGGGTGTGGTTTAGGGTTAAGGGTAAAGGGTTGGGCTAGGGTTTGGGGTTAAGGGTTTAGGGGTTTAGGTTTCAGGGTTCAGGGTTGAAGGGCCCCCCCTTCAAAACCTCACAACCTGCTTCACGCTGAGGCGGATTCAACTGAGGAGTTGCCGGGCTTAGGGCTTAGGGCTTAGGGCTTAGGGTTTAGGGTTTAGGGTTTAGGGTTTAGGGTTTAGGGCTAAACCTAGACCCTACACCCGCAAGTCCTTAAGAACTACTTAACGCAGCATGCCGCTGACAACGCCACAAGGCATCACCGAGAAGAGCTGCGATGCGTCTCGGGGAGAGGCGACGTCAACAACTCGGGCCCGGGGTTTCCGAGATGCTGAGGGGAGTCTGGGGTGTAGAGCCGTAAACCCTAAACCCTAAACCCTAAACCCTAAACCCTAAACCCCCTGAACCCAACCGCAAACCCAAACCCGAAACCCGAAACCCTGACATGCCCCTAAAGGCCCCTAAGCCCAACAGCCCCCTGAAGCCCCCGTTGGAATCCCAAGGTTTAGGGTTTAGGGTTTAGGGTTTAGGGTTTAGGGTCTTGCGGGGGAGCTTCAGGGCCAGCGACTATTGGAGCTTCACGGTACTTCAAAATCACTGTACTTGTAAGCCCCCGAAGTCCCCAAAACCCTAAAACCCTAAAACCCTGAAACCCTAAAACCCTAAAACCCTAAAACCCTAAAACCCTAAAACCCTAAAACCCTAAAACCCTAAAACCCTAAAACCCTAAAACCCTAAAACCCTAAAACCCTAAAACCCTAAAACCCTAAAACCCTAAAACCCTAAAACCCTAAAACCCTAAAACCCTAAAACCCTAGAACCCTAAAGCCCTAAAACCCTAGAACCCTAGAACCCTAAAACCCTAAAACCCTAAAACCCGAAAAAGCTAAAACCCTAAACCCTGAACCCTGAACCCTAAACGAAACCCTGGGTACCCATGAACCTGCAGGCAAGGTCTACATGATCCCCACGAAGCGGATCACCATGATGCTGGCAGCGCACCAGCCACCCCGACGAGTTTCTTTGGGCTTCGGGCTTGTCATTTAGGGGCTGAGATCCCCCCAGAAGCCCCCTAGAAACCCCCTCGAACCCTAAGCCCTAAACACTAAACCCCAAACCCTTAAACCCTTAAACCCTTAGACCCTAAAACCCTAAAACCCTAAAACCCTAAAACCCTAAACCCGAAAACCCTAAACCCTACCATGCTTCCCGCAAGCCCCGAAGGCCTAAAGCTCTAAGCTCCCCTAGAGAGAGGCAGGCGGCGCTGACAAAGATTGCGCTGAACGAGCGGAGGCGAGATGGCGTGGGAGAGTTGACACTTGTGGGAAATTTGTACCCATGTAAGCCGTGGGCGCCTTGAACCCTAAACCCTAAACCCTCAACCCTCAACCCTAAACCCTCAACCCTCAACCCTCAACCCTCAACACAGACTTCTCCCATGTCTCTGGGGCACAGGGAGAAGATCCTGAGCATGGCCCTGTTCACCTCGCAGCCTTGCTTTCGGGGTGGGTCGAGGGATGCCGGCTCTGGTTTCGGCAACACGCGAGTGTAGGGTTTAGGGTTTAGGGTTTGGGGTTTAGGGTTTAGGGTTTAGGGTTTAGGGTATTGGGTTTCAATGTTGCTGCGCCCTCAGGAGACCCTCAATCCTACTACCCTTGTTGAGCCTATAACCCAACATGTGCCGAGTTATCCAGCGCCAACCTCTGGGCTCTAGAAGAGGAAAGCCAGTCCAGCAAATACCCTAAACGTTCAGGTCGAACCTGAGGGGGCTATCCTTTTAAGGTGGGTAATGCCAGGATGGGCCCCCTTCACGCCCCCCTGAAACCCTTAACTTTAAACATTTAAACCCCCCTTACCCACCCATCCCCCTGAAATGGACTCTTTGGGACCTCACCTGGGACCTCTTGAGACCTCCTGAAACCCCTCGACCTGAGACCCCTTCCACAAAGAAGCCCTCCATGCTGGGACCGGGACGGGCCCGGACCCCGCTCGGACCCAACCCCGAACGTCCTGAAACTGAGGAAGTTTTTAGAAGTGGACTGTTGCCGTGAGTTTAGGCCTAAACCCGAAAAGGAATCGGTTTGGGTGGATTTGCCGCTTCGGACAGCGTGGGGTGGGAGAAAAGTGTTGATGGCCTTCCACAATCGGGCCAAAGCTGCTCTTCGCGCCTCACGAAGCTTTCGAGCTTGTTCTAACCCGCCCTATCACAGCAAACCCTAAACCCTCAACCCCAAACCCTAAAGCCCCCCCCCCCCCCTCACCAAAACAAAAAACATCCATACGCGCCAGCTCGTAGGTTCCACCTCGCCCGAGCCGGTCCCCTCCGCGGTGTCGTGTGGCGGCGCGGGGGCGGTAGGCGCGCGCGGTGAATTGCGTGTCTAGGTTTGGGGTTTAGGGTTTAGGGTTTAGGGTTTAGGGTTTAGGGTTTAGGGTTTAGGGGCTGTGGAGGGTTCAGGGTTTTGGGGGGTGGTTCCAGAAAAAAAATGGCGCCCTGCCAACCCTAAACCCTAAAGATCTGAACCTAAACCGTAAACTCTCAACCCTAAACCCTCAACCCTCAACCCTCAACCCTCAACCCTCAACCCTCAACCCTAAACCCTAAACCCTAAACCCTAAACCCTAAAGCCCCCATTAACCCTCAGAAGCTTGAGGGCCTCCATGCAAAGGAACAGCTAGCTGCATGTCAGCGGCACGTGGCAGACTTGGGTTCGAGCCGAAACCCTAAACCCTAAACCCTAAACCCTAAACCCTAAACCCTAAACCCTAAACCCTAAACCCTAAACCCTAAACCCTGAACCCTAAACCCTAAACCCTAAACCCTAAACCCTAAACCCTAAACCCTAAACCCTAAACCCCCAGAAGCCCCCCGAAGCGCCTAAACTTTGTCGCTCCCCCCCGGCCCAGTCGCCTCTACGAGATCCGGGGCCGCCTTCGCGCCCTGCGACGCGAGCTCCGGGCCTCTGAGGCGGGTTTAGGGTTTAGGGTTTAGGGTTTAGGGTTTAGGGTTTAGGGTTTAGGGGGGTTTCGGGGGCTTTGGGGGGTTTAGGGGGTTAAGGGTTAAGGGTTTAGGATTTAGAGGGTCTCTTAGGGTGGTTTTTGGGGAGTTTTTTTGGGTTTGTTTCAGGCTTTCGGCTCATTTTTCGGTGTTTGTTTTTTTTTTTTTTGTTTTTTTGGAGTTCGGGTTTAGACTTTTTGTGTCTCTAGGGCCTCTAGGGTGTGTTTTTCGTCTGCTTTGGGCAGTTTTCCTCGAGTTACTTTGGGCTTTCGGGTTTTCAACTGGGTTCTTGTCGTAGATTCCGCATCGTGTAGGACCCTCCCTCCCTTCCTCGATTCATGTTTACAGACTGGGGGGTCGAGGGTTTAAAGCAAAAAAGCCCTAAAGTCCTCAATGAACCTCACAGACCCCTACCACCTAAACTCTAAACCCTAAACCCTAAGCCCTGAACCCTAAACCCTAAACCCTAAACCTTGTAGTATCCACCCTAGAAGGAAGTTCCTGAAGCCAGAAGATTCGGGGGAAGTCGTAGGCCCTCACCTGACGTGGTCGAGGTTTCGAGATAGGGTTTAGGGTTTAGGGTTTAGGGTTTAGGGTTTAGGGTTTAGGGTTTAGGGTTTAGGGTTTAGGGTTTAGGTTTCAGAGTTTAAGGTTTAGGGTTTTTTGGAGATAGGCCATAGGGCTTAACCTCAAACCGTCACGGGCTTTGCCACCGGCAACCCTCATGTGTACTTAGCGGGATTCGCTGGCCCTTCGGCACACGCTATCTTGAGCCCACATTATGATTGTGATGGGTGCCCCAGGGTTTTGGTGAGTTTAGGCACGGTGTAGGCCACGGGTCATCTGGGAAATCGTGAGGAAGCCCTTTCGCCAAAACCCCCCAAAGTCAAGCTGCAACCCTAAACCCTAAACCCTAAGCCCTAAACCCTAAACCCTAAACCCTAAACCCTAATCCCTAAACCCTAAACCCTAAACCCTAAACCCTAAACCCTAAACCCACCGAAGGCCGAACTGCGATCGACCGAGGAGGGACCCGAGGCCCCGGCGCTCACACAAAGAATCAGGGTTTAGGGTCCCGGGTTTGCATGATGGGCTAGGGTTTAGGGTTTAGGGTTTAGGGTTTAGGGTTTAGGGTTTAGGGTTTAGGGTTTAGGGTTTAGGGTTTAGGGTTTAGGGTTTAGGGTTTAGGGCTAGGACCGGCGGTTTCCGAAATTTGGGGTACCTGGTTGGGGTCCTTATTCGAAGGGAATCCTACTATTTGGGGGTCTATATTAGGTTCCCCGATATGGGGTATTGTGTTTAGAGTTCAGGATCTATAGGGTTTAGGGTTTAGGGTTTATAAGGTTCAGGGTTTAGG